AACTTCTTCTCTGAAACTGCAGAACCAATTTCAACCAATTTTGGCATATAGCATCTATGGGTGAAGAGGAATAAAGATTGTGAATTTCATGGTCAATGCCCCCTGGGGCCTGGGGGCATGACCAAAACCGTTAGAATTATAGTACAATCTTTAAAAATCTTCTTCTTTACTCCTGGACATCAAGCAGTCAAACTGTTGGTATGATTGTAATCAGCATCTACCAAAATTGTGAAATTCATGGCCCCAGGGTCAGGAATTCTAGTGCTAGGGAGGGGCTTAATAGATTATATAATGAAAATGCAAAATTTCTTTGAAGTTCTTCTTTTCTGCTCCTGGGCATTAAATAAACTAAACAAGTGCATAGTTAAGTTGAATATAGCTGCCTCTTCCAAAATTGTGAATCTCATGGCCCCACCGGTTAGGATTTTAAAGTTCTAGTGCTAGGGTGGGGCTATATAGATTATATAGTGAAAATACATAAATTCTTTGAAATTCTTTTTCTCTGATCATGGGCATTAATTAAACAAACCAAGTGCATAGGTATGTTGAATAAGACTGCATGCCTCTTCTAAAATTGTGAATTTCATGGCCCTATTGTCCGGTGTTCTAGTGCTAGGGTGGGGCTATACATATAGATTATATAATATATAGTGAAAATGCATTATTTCTTTGAAATTCTTCTTCTTTGCTAATGGACATTAAATAAACTAACCAAGTGCATAGTTATGTTGAATAAGGCTGCTTCTTCCAAAATTGTGACCCAGGGTCAGGGTTTCTAGTGCTAGGACGGGACTATAAAGATTATATAGTGAAAATCTTTGAAAATCTTCTTTTCTGCGCCTTGGTATTAAACTAATTAATTATGTACATAGTTATGAGGAGGAAGGATGCCTCTTTGAGATTTGTGAATTTCAGGGCTTCTTGTGTTAGGGCGGGGCTCTAATGTTTATACATGTATAATGAAAATGCGTGAATTCTTTAAAAATATTTTCAATTGCTCCTGGGTATTATGCCAATGATTTAAGTACATATTTATGATGAAGAAAGCTGCCTTTTCCAAAATGGTTAATTTTTGGGCCCCTGGATCAGAGGTACTTGAAAAGGTGGGGGGGGGGGGTACATAGCTGAGCTGAAGGGTAAAGTGAACATGATTTTCTGTTCAAGAAGAGTCTGGGTGTGTGTTTGTCATTAGTTGTCTGTAATCATTTTACGTTTTCAAATTATTCACCAGAACTTCAAACAACTAGGCTAAATTTTAATTAAACTTGCCACAAAGTATCCTTCGATAAAGTGGATTAAGGGATTATGCAATACATGTAGTTATGGCAAGTCCTTCAAATGAAGGAGTTCAGTACTTAGCAACAGTTTGTACAGAAGCCCACATTGCCCAAGGTGTTAAGTTACGGGCTGCTTTTGTAGCACTTCTGGATCCCAGTTTTGCATTATAACTTGATCAGAGCAGCCAGGGGGCTTCTTTGATCTCCAGTTTTTCTGTGTTTTCAGGAGCGTTGATCCCTGCAAGACGTACAACAACATTTCAAAGGGATTTCAAAGAGGAGGAGATGAATGCTAACCCGGAAGGATCCCAACAGCAGGCAAGAAGAGAAGAGGAGGTAAGATTCACAATGTACATCTTGCAGCCTTTTGTGATCTTTACCTTGCCAAATGATGTTGACAGTATCAGCATCTGACCTCTTGTTCTCCAATTGGCAGTATGCGCAACCAACAGCAGAGCGAAGCCCAGTCCGCCACAGCCCCAGCCGAGCAGGGGATCCAGCTCAGCCCAACGCAGCCCAGCCCAGCAGAGGTTTCAATTCCACTACCAGGAAGAATAACAGAGAAGCATTTTCAATTTATTTCTTTCCTTCTGTCTCTTCTCTGTCTTCTGAGCACTTCCCTAATCTAACAGAACTAACCATCCCCTACCCCTAACACTCATTTTGTTGTAATTTCATTGAATTTGTGTGCTTTGTTTCATTGTTTCAAATTTTTACTAATCTCCTCTCAGTTGTATATTTTCAGGCACTCGGACGTGGTACAACGCGGGAGCACCCAGCCATGCCCAGCCACAGATGAAGAGGAAGGAGCCCATCGCCCAACTTTGTCTAGCAGCCAACATTGGCCAAGGCGGTGAGTAACGGGCTTCTTTTTTAGCACTTCTGGATCCCTGTTTTGCATTACAACTTGATCAGAGCAGCTAGGGTTCTTCTTTTGACCTCTTGTTTTTCTGTGTTTTCAGGAGCGTCGATCACAACCACACGTACAGCAGCATTCTGGGGAGCAAGGATGGACTGCGACCGCACATGGAAGAGAGGGTAAGATTCATGTCCAACCTGAATTTACTGTGTTTCATGTTTTACTCATCTCACTTGATGAAGACTGTGATCTCTCTTGATGTCTGGTTTGTGTACTGTAGGTATGCGGTGTGATGCAGCCCTCTATTCCCCAGAAGAGCAGACTGTCACCAGTAGGCAGCAGTTCTGCAATGCACTGCGGTCAATCCCTAATGTGTAGGTAAGACGCAGTATGAAATTCTTGCAGTGTGTCCAATTTCATTAGTGCGCGTTCGTGTTGAAAGGTATCTTAACTTTGCTTTTTGCACTCGCTGAAATCTTGTAAACTGTAGGAAATTGTTTTGATGTTTGGATTCTGCTTTGTTAGCAGAAGAGGAGGTATATGCTGACCCGGAAGGATTCCAACTGCAGTCAAGAAGAGAAGAGGAGGTAAGATTGACAATGTACATCTTGCAGCCTTTTATGATCTTTGCCTTGCCAAAAAATGTTGACCTATCAGCATCTGACCTCTTGTTTTCCAATTGACAGGATGCACAGCCAGCAGCCAAGCCCAGCCAAGCCCAGCCCAGTCCTCCACAGCCCCAGCCCAGCAGGGGATCCAGCTCAGCCCAACGCAGCCCAGCCTGGCCGAGGTTCCAATTCCACTACCAGGGAGCATAACAGAGAAGCATTTTCAATTCATTTCTTTCCTTCTGTCTCTTCTCTGTCTTCTGAGCACTTCCCTAATCTAACAGAACTAACCATCCCCTACCCCTAACATTCATTTTGTTGTAATTTCATTGAATTTGTGTGCTTTGTTTCATTGTTTTGAATTTTTACTAATCTCCTCTCAGTTGTATATTTTCAGGCACTCGGACATGGTACAACACTGGAGCACCCAGCCAGCCAGCCAGCCAGCCAGCCAGCGGCCCAGCCACAGATGAAGAGGAAGAGCCCATCGCCCAGCTTTGTCTAGCAGCCAACATTGGCCAAGGCGGTGAGTAACGGGCTTGTTTTGTAGCACTTCTACATCCCTGTTTTACATTACAACTTGATCAGAGCAGCTAGGGTTCTTCTTTTGACCTCTTGTTTTTCTGTGTTTTCAGGAGTGTCGATCACAACCACATGTGCAGCAGCATTCTGGGGAGCAAGGATCGACTGCGACCGCACATGGAAGAGAGGGTAAGATTCATGTCCAACCTGAATTTACTGTGTTGATTTATGTTTTACTCATCTCACTTGATGAAGACTGTGATCTCTCTTGATGTCTTGTCTGTGTACTGTAGGTATGCGGTGTGATGCAGCCCTCTATTCCCAAGAAGAGCAGACATTCACCAGTAGGCAGCAGTTCTGCAATGCACTGCGGTCAATCCCTAATGTGTAGGTAAGACGCAGTATGAAATTCTTGCAGTGTGTCCAATTTTATTAGTGCGCATTCGTGTTGAAAGTTATCTTAACTTTGCTTTTTGCACTCGCTGAAATCTTGTAAACTGTAGGAAGTTGTTTTGATGTTTTGATTCTGCTTTGTTAGCAGAAGAGGAGGTGTATGCTGAGCCGGAAGGATTCCAACTGCAGTCAAGAAGAGAAGAGGAGGTAAGATTGACAATGTACATCTTGCAGCCTTTTGTGATCTTTGCCTAGCCAAAAATGTTGACCTATCAGCATCTGACCTCTTGTTTTCCAATTGACAGGATGCACAGCAAGCAGCCAAGCCCAGCCCAGTCCTCTACAGCCCCCGCCCAGTAGGGGATCCAGCTCAGCCCAACGCAGCCCAGCCCAGCCGAGGTTCTAATTCCACTACCAGGAAGCATAACAGAGAAGCATTTTCAATTTATTTCTTTCCTTCTGTCGTCTTCAGAGCACTTCCCTAATCTAACAGAACTAACCATCCCCTACCCCTAACATTCATTTTGTTGTAATTTCATTGAATTTGTGTGCTTTGTTTCATTGTTTTGAATTTTTATTAATCTCGTCTCAGTTGTATATTTTCACGCACTCGGACGTGGTACAACCCGGGAGCACCCAGTCAGCAAGCCGCCCAGCCGCAGATGAAGAGGAAGGAGCCCATCGCCCAGCTTTGTCTAGCAGCCAACATTGGACAAGGCGGTGAGTAACGGGCTTCTTTTTTAGCACTTCTGGATCCCTGTTTTGCATTACAACTTGATCAGAGCAGCTAGGGTTCTTCTTTTGACCTCTTGTTTTTCTGTGTTTTCGGGAGTGTCGATCACAACCACACGTACAGCAGCATTCCGTTGTATATTTGTTTCATTGTTTTGAATTTTTACTAATCTCGTCTCAGTTGTATATTTTCAGGCACTTGGACGTGGTACAACGCAGTAGCACCCAGCCAGCCGCCACCCAGCCAGCCAGCCACAGATGAAGAGGAAGGAGCCCATCGCCCAGCTTTGTCTAGCAGCCAACACTGGCCAAGGCGGTGAGTAATGCGCTTCTTTTTTTGCACTTCTGGATCCCTGTTTTGCATTACAACTTGATCAGAGCAGCTAGGGTTCTTCTTTTGACCTCTTGTTTTTCTGTGTTTTCAGGGGCGTCGATCACAACCACATGTACAGCAGCATTCTGGGGAGCAAGGATCGACTGCGACCGCACATGAAAGAGAGGGTAAGATTCATGTCCAACCTGAATTTACTGTGTTGATTCATGTTTTACTCATCTCACCTCACTTGATGAAGACTGTGATCTCTCTTGATGTCTGGTTTGTGTACTGTAGGTATGCGGTGTGATGCAGCCCTCTATTCCTAAGAAGAGCAGACTGTCACCAGTAGGCAGCAGTTCTGCAATGCACTGCGGTCAATCCCTAATGTGTAGGTAAGACGCAGTATGAAATTCTTGCAGTGTGTCCAATTTTATTAGTGCGCATTCGTGTTGAAAGTTATCTTAACTTTGCTTTTTGCACTCGCTGAACTTGTAAACTAGGAAGTTGTTTTGATGTTTTGATTCTCCTTTGTTAGCAGAAGAGGAGGTGTATGCTGACCCGGAAGGATTCCAACTGCAGTCAAGAAGAGAAGAGGAGGTAAGATTGACAATGTACATCTTGCAGCCTTTTGTGATCTTTGCCTAGCCAAAAATGTTGACCTATCAGCATCTGACCTCTTGTTTTCCAATTGACAGGATGCGCAGCCAGCAGCCAAGCCCAGCCCAGTCCGCCCCAGCCCCAGCCCAGGAGGGGATCCAGCTCAGCCCAACGCAGCCCAGCCCAGCCGAGGTTCCAATTCCACTACCAGGAAGCATAACAGAGAAGCATTTTGAATTTATTTCTTTCCTTCTGTCTCTTCTCTGTCTTCAGCACTTCCCTAATCTAACAGAACTAACCATCCCCTACCCCTAACATTCATTTTGTTGTAATTTCATTGAATTTGTGTGCTTTGTTTCATTGTTTTGTATTTTTACTAATCTCGTCTCAGTTGTATATTTTCAGGCACTCGGACGTGGTACAACGCGGGAGCACCCAGCCAGCCAGCCGCCCAGCCACAGATGAAGAGGAAGGAGCCCATCGCCCAGCTTTGTCTAGCAGCCAACATTGGCCAAGGCGGTGAGTAACGGGCTTCTTTTTTAGCACTTCTGGATCCCTGTTTTGCATTACAACTTGATCAGAGCAGCTAGAGTTCTCTACTGTGTTGATTTATGTTTTACTCATCTCAATTGATGAAGACTGTGATCTCTCTTGATGTCTTGTCTGTGTACTGTAGGTATGCGGTGTGATGCAGCCCTCTATTCCCAAGAAGAGCAGACTTTTGACCTCTTGTTTTTCTGTGTTTTCGGGAGTGTCGATCACAACCACACGTACAGCAGCATTCCGTTGTATATTTGTTTCATTGTTTTGAATTTTTACTAATCTCGTCTCGGTTGTATATTTTCAGGCACTTGGACGTGGTACAACGCGGGCGCACCCAGCGAGCCAGCCGCCCAGCCACAGATGAAGAGGAAGGAGCCCATCGCCCAGCTTTGTTTAGCAGCCAACCTTGGCCAAGGCGGTGAGTAACGGGCTTGTTTTGTAGCACTTCTGGATCCCTGTTTTGCATTACAACTTGATCAGAGCAGCTAGGGTTCTTCTTTTGACCTCTTGTTTTTCTGTGTTTTCAGGAGCGTCGATCACAACCACATGTACAGCAGCATTCTGGGGAGCAAGGATCGACTGCGACCGCACATGGAAGAGAGGGTAAGATTCATGTCCAACCTGAATTTACTGTGTTGATTTATGTTTTACTCATCTCACTTGATGAAGACTGTGATCTCTCTTGATGTCTTGTCTGTGTACTGTAGGTATGCGGTGTGATGCAGCCCTCTATTCCCAAGAAGAGCAGACTGTCACCAGTAGGCAGCAGTTCTGCAATGCACTGCGGTCAATCCCTAATGTGTAGGTAAGACGCAGTATGAAATTCTTGCAGTGTGTCCAATTTCATTAGTGCGCGTTCGTGTTGAAAGGTACCTTAACTTTGCTTTTTGCACTCGCTGAAATCTTGTAAACTGTAGGAAGTTGTTTTGATGTTTTGATTCTGCTTTGTTAGCAGAAGAGGAGGTGTATGCTGAGCCGGAAGGATTCCAACTGCAGTCAAGAAGAGAAGAGGAGGTAAGATTGACAATGTACATCTTGCAGCCTTTTGTGATCTTTACCTTGCCAAAAAATGTTGACCTATCAGCATCTGACCTCTTGTTTTCCAATTGACAGGATGCGCAGCCAGCAGCCAAGCCCAGCCCAGTCCGCCCCAGCCCAGGAGGGGATCCAGCTCAGCCAAACTCAGCCCAGCCATGCCGAGGTTCCAATTCCACTACCAGGAAGCATAACAGAGAAGCATTTTGAATTTATTTCTTTCCTTCTGTCTCTTCTCTGTCTTCTGAGCACTTCCCTAATCTAACAGAACTAACCATCCCCTACCCCTAACATTCATTTTGTTGTAATTTCATTGAATTTGTGTGCTTTGTTTCATTGTTTCAAATTTTTACTAATCTCCTCTCAGTTGTATATTTTCAGGCACTCGGACATGGTACAACACTGGAGCACCCAGCCAGCCAGCCAGCCAGCCAGCGGCCCAGATGAAGAGGAAGAGCCCATCGCCCAGCTTTGTCTAGCAGCCAACATTGGCCAAGGCGGTGAGTAACGGGCTTGTTTTGTAGCACTTCTACATCCCTGTTTTACATTACAACTTGATCAGAGCAGCTAGGGTTCTTCTTTTGACCTCTTGTTTTTCTGTGTTTTCAGGAGCGTCGATCACAACCACACGTACAGCAGCATTCTGGGGAGCAAGGATCGACTGCGACCGCACATGGAAGAGAGGGTAAGATTCATGTCCAACCTGAATTTACTGTGTTGATTCATGTTTTACTCATCTCACCTCACTTGATGAAGACTGTGATCTCTCTTGATGTCTTGTCTGTGTACTGTAGGTATGCGGTGTGATGCAGCCCTCTATTCCCAAGAAGAGCAGACTGTCACCAGTAGGCAGCAGTTCTGCAATGCACTGCGGTCAATCCCTAATGTGTAGGTAAGACGCAGTATGAAATTCTTGCAGTGTGTCCAATTTCATTAGTGCGTGTTCGTGTTGAAAGGTACATTAACTTTGCTTTTTGCACTCGCTGAAATCTTGTAAACTAGGAAGTTGTTTTGATGTTTTGATTCTGCTTTGTTAGCAGAAGAGGAGGTGTATGCTGACCCGGAAGGATTCCAACTGTAGTCAAGAAAAGAAGAGGAGGTAAGATTGACAATGTACATCTTGCGGCCTTTTGTGATCTTTGCCTTGCCAAAAAATGTTGACCTATCAGCATCTGACCTCTTGTTTTCCAATTGACAGGATGCGCAGCCAGCAGCCAAGCCCAGCCCAGTCCTCCACAGCCCCAGCCCAGCAGGGGATCCAGCTCAGCCCAACGCAGCCCAGCCCGGCCGAGGTTCCAATTCCACTACCAGGAAGCATAACAGAGAAGCATTTTGAATTTATTTCTTTCCTTCTGTCTCTTCTCTGTCTTCTGAGCACTTCCCTAATCTAACAGAACTAACCATCCCCTACCCTTAACATTCATTTTGTTGTAATTTCATTGAATTTGTGTGCTTTGTTTCATTGTTTTAAATTTTTACTAATCTCCTCTCAGTTGTATATTTTCAGGCACTTGGACGTGGTACAAGCTGGAGCACCTACCCACCCACCCAGCTGCAGATGAAGAGCTCACTCTAACAAACTAATCTAACAAATAACTCTAACAATTCATCCTAACAAATCATCCTAACCAACTACCAATAAATCATCGTAACAAATAGGGGTGGGATGATAAACTGATACATACCGATATTTTCCTCTAAGATATGGTTTACAATACGTGCATCAAAATATTGTAATGAAACGATATATGAATGATCTACCAAAAAATTGAAAGTGAAAGTAGGTGTCCTTGGAAAATGATGGCTTGTGCGAAACGTAGAGTTGATATTGATATTGAAAACACCCTTTAGAACTAATAAGTCGTAAATAAGGGGTAAAATATATTCACTTTTAAGCATCCTCAGATAAGATAGGACAAGAAAAGTTCAGGATGTAAAGTGTGTTATACACAGAAAGTATCATTTCCACAACGTTTGATATTATTGTTAGTACCAACAGCTCATTACAAAGCATGGGTTCTCTAATTTCTAGAATTTGAAATTTTAAAACTTTCAGCAATTATTAATAATCTACCTATTTTTTTAAGTGAATTTTTTAGTCATGACAGTGTTCTTGTAGTCAACTTGTTTATAGACATTTGTCAAATGAATCGGTACACGTTATTGCTTTTGTAAATCTCTAGTGAAATTGATGAGCTTCAAAAATTAATTTTAAAGCACTGTGATGATTTGATATATAGAATAATTTGTTGACTTTAAGTCAAAACAAAAAATAAAAAATTTTTTTTCAAAATAGTTTTATTATTTATCATAATGTCGAGATACGTAGAAGTGTTATGTTATTTTCAAGATACATATAATATCGCAAGATCTGAGTATTGTCCCACCCCTACTAAGAAGCTACTAAAACTACTAACAGTCTGCTTAATGTTGTGTGACGCATCTAGTGTGTTGGTGTTAGTGTCTGTGTGCTTGTCACCTCTCGCTTTCAGCCATCACCGCTGGCTAGCAGCAATATATGCGAAAAGGGAATGTCTTCCCCTGCCAGTACATAGCCTCTCCACAACAAGTCCTATGCGATGCCTCCACGTGGAAGCAGACGGATACTGGGCACCTTTTTGTCCCAGGCTAAGTTCGCAAGGGCGCACGGGAAGATGAATCTTGAAAGCCTTTGCTGGCACCTCATCTAGCATTTTTGCTAGCTAAGGGTTTCTGATATGCTACTCTTGGCATACAGTGCTGTGAAAAGACAGGATTGTTTTCTTCATGTGATCTTGAATTTTGAATAGGACAAACTGCGTCATCATCAGAAATAAATAGCGCAGTTAAATCATGTAATTTTCAAAGAATAATTACCAGGAAGAAGAAGGTATTGATTCTTCATTTGTTATTTTTAAAAAATGTGCAAATCTACATCTTCAATATAGGTTCGAATTCATATTTTGCATATATCTTAAGATTTTGGATGACATATGATTGTTGTTTACATATGTACTTGCTTTTTTCGTTTACAAGAGTAAAGTGTTGAAATATGTCATGAACGCAAATATCGTCATTTTAAAAAACAATTGCTGATTGGTCAATTAAAGTTGATCAATCCAATCACAACTTGAGAAAAAAATCCTTTTTCTTTGACATCTCTTTCTCTCTCTTTTAATGTTTAAAATTTTACAGTTATAAAATGAACTAGATTGTTTTTATACAAAAAGAATAATTTGTGTGGATTTAAACAAGTCTTATTTTTTCCACTCAATGCATTATAAACTGTTCCTAGATTTTGTTTAGATCCCCATTGTCAGATGTGATGGAGAAAGGAACGAAGTGTAATCACCCACGGGTTTCCATAATCAGATGCCATCCACCCTTTACAAAATTATTAGATCTGCTCTAAAATAAAATGGATATAGTAATAACATGTGAATTCCCATAGGGATTACTAGTGGCTTGGAAGAAAAAATTTAATATTTTCTCAAGTTGTTTATATTTGTCAAAATGATTAAGGACATTTAAATAATAGGTAATTTTAATGTTTGGAAATTGAACTAGATACACACGACGTCATTACGTTTTCAGTGAGTAACAACGTTTTGGATGGCATACTAAAATGCCCATAAAACACTGAAGAGGTGAGATATTTTCAAAAATTATATATATATATATTTGCATTCAGAAAGAGTGGTCCCCAGTACAAAATGTAGAGGTGGAATAGGCAATTAATTGGCTAAGACACGGAACCTGCATGGGTTTTTAAAAACTGCATGGGTTCTGGATTACCATATACACAGACACAGATTCTGAGTCTGGAGTGAGGAATCCTCTCTCACAGAAACCCTTCTTGTGGAGGCACAGAATCCTTGTCTCTGGGAGATGGTTTTTAATGCAAGCGGGTTTTGCTTCAAACTATTCCTATCTCACAGCTTTTTACTGAGCATGCTCAATCATAACTCCCTTTATTTGAATATTAAATTGGTGTGTTAATTCATGTACATGAGCTAGCTTTAGGAATGTGTTATTTTACTCTTACTATTTAACCCCTTCCATGGCAAAGATTTATGGCATTTCTAGAAAAATTGATATTCAATGCATATTTTGAGGTATTTCTTGTAATTTTTGTATATACCAATGTATATATATTCTGAAAGCAAGTATTGTGTTGTTTCTAAAAATGATTATAAAAATTTCATTTCAGTTGCCATGGCAACGAAATACACCATAAATTTGCTGGAATTTCCATTATTTAAATAATGAGTTTTATTTTAGTTTTTTTGTTTTGTTAAATATATTTAGAAATATTTTATTGTTGTGTTGAAAATTATGAACATGTACCTTTTTTTACAAACCAATTTAAAGAATTTTGGGGGGATTGGGTAGGGTTGGGATGTAAACACCAGAATTTAGAATTTTTTATGGCACGCCAAATTCACAAAAATGAGCAAATCATAGTTTCACAATCGATAAATTAGGTTTACCGGTTGTAAACTATAGTTTACGGACTGTAAACTATAGTTAACAACGTTAATCTATATTTTACATCTGTAAACTATAGTTAACGCGATAATCTATGTTTCACAACCGTAAACTATACTTAACACCGAAAACTATCATTTGCGATCGCAAAACATAGACTATCTGATAAATACAGTTTCACGATTTGTAAACTATAGTTTACAAACCGTTAACTATAGTCAACGATCTGATAAATACAGTTTCACGATTTGTGAAACTATGATTAACAACTCTTAACTATAGTTTACGATTGTAAACTATAGTTTACAAACGTGAATCTATGTTTATCAACAAAATCTATTGTTAACGCTTATTACAGACAGATAAACTTAGATTATCATTCGTAAACTATAGTTAACAACTGTTAAATATAGTTTTACAGATGAAAACTAGACTTAAAGAATCGTTAACTATAGTTTACGGTTTGTAAACTATAGTTTACAGTCGATAAACCTAGTTTATCAAATGTGAAACTAGGTTTATCTCATTTTTGTGAATTTGGCGTGCCATAATTTTTACATATAAAGTGTTAACCCCACATTGATTTCGATAATGGCAAAATCACTCAAATAGTGCGCAAAGTTGTACTCAAGCTAGCAAAAAACTGGTATAACCAATAAAAAAAATTTCTGTAAATTATTTAACCGTATTTATTTTCTCTTTCCAACGGTGCAAGATTTAATCTGATATTTCCAGTATTAACGAAGTTATGGATGTTTTTTCACACTATACTTGTTTTTCGAGTCAGATGCATAGAAATGCGTATATGCCATGTAAGGGGTTAAAGGATATTTAACTAATAGATGTCAGTTGGAATTGTATTGACATCAGCCTGGAATGATTTTGTCACTTTTGAACAAAATGCAGCAAATCAAATATAGAAAAATAATTAAATAATTTTCAATTTTTCATGATCTTTCTGTATGAATCCGGGTCATTTCTCCCCAGTACCTGATCCACCTAGGTCATTTCCACCCAGGTCATTTTTCCCCTAGGTCATTTCTCTCCACAACCTTGGTAATTTCACTCCAACATGAAAATTCTTTAAATCTAAAATTGGGAATTTTATGGCCCCTGGGTCAGGGGTTCTGTTGTTAGGGTCATGTGGCTCTATTGATTAAATAGTGAAAATACATATAATTCTTCGAAAATCTTCTCTGCTCCTGGGTCAGTTAAACTAACTACATACATAGTTATGCTGAGCAAAAAAAAAAACCTGTCCTCATGAAAAATTGTGAATCTCATAGCTCCAGGGTCAGAGTTTATGGTGTTATGATGGGGCTATACATAAATTATATCGTGAAAATGCATCCATTCTCTGAAATTTTTCTCCTATGCTCCTGGGCATTGAACAAACTAAATCCGTGCATACATAGTTATGTTGAACAAGGCTGCCAGTCTTCCAAGGCCCCAGGGTCAGGGGTTCTGGTGTTAAAAGGAGATGCACTACCTATATAGTTATGATGAGCAAGTGTGTCTCTTAAAAAAAATTGAATTTCAAGGTCCTTGGGTCAGGGGTAACCATAGAGAGGGACTGTGATTATATTCTGAATTGAATTAATTATTATTATGAAATCTGCTCCTTGGTATTAATTTCTTCCCTACCACTTAGTACCGTGGTACATATATACATGTACATGCTTATTTTATCTTCTCTGTGCTCGCAGTGATTGATAAACCCATCTGATTTTACTATGGTGTGCTAGCTAAATCACATTGTCGTATATATCTGCTGGCATATACTAGCTGGTATAATATACTGATGTGATTAGGTATGCAGTAAAAGTGCATTTCAACATGTAAAATATTTATTTGAGAATGTAAAGTTGGATTTGAAAATGTGGAATTGTGATTTGTAAATGTTAAAAGATCTGTAAATTGATTTGTGATTTTTTTTTTTTTTTTTTTTTTTTTGGTAAAATTGTGATTTGTAAATGCATGTTGGTGAATGTGATTTTATTGGCAAGTTTTGTGCAAAAAAATAGTTATTACTAAAAAGAAACAAATCAAAAGAAAACAAGAGGCCCATGGGCCACATCGCTCACCTGAGCACTGTGGCTAGGAAAATGTAGAAATTGATTTATTATTGAATAGATTAAATCCAGAAGTAGTCCCAAGACCAATCATGGCTTTGCAATTCTTGATAAGATGATTTTTAAAGAATTTTCCTGTATATTTC